TCTCGAATCGATGGTGATGAACGGAATTTATTTATTTATTTTTAATTATTCCTTGAATAATCGAGGTAAAGAAATAATATTTCGAATACTTTCTTTTTTTTCCTTTGAAATATATATTTTTTGATATTGAATAAATATCATAGATATTTAATAAACGGGTAGTTACGGTGACTAAAAAATTAATTTCGCTTCGGAAATTATATGTGTTTGGCAGTTATTAAATCTGAAAAATTCGAGGCGAGGTTTTTCGATCGTTTCGTTCCATTCTATTTACACATTCGAATCTCTCATTCGTCCGTTTTATTCCTTTTTTTTTTTTATATATTATCCTAAGTAAAATCGTAATTTTTGATAATCAAACTTTCATCGCTTCCTTGCGAGGAAGGGGAGAAAATGCGCAAATGGGTACATACATTTTTACACCTTTTAATCAACGACGCTACCTTACCATCTCCCCGCTGCCGTGAAAGCCATAAAATGAGAAGGGGGGAGGGATCCCCTTTATATCCCCGAACAAAATCCTCTGGAACAATGCCGGTTAATTATTAACCGACCAATACGGAAACATCATCAGATCCTTGATGAAAAGTTGGAGTTAATCTTAAGAAATCTCGTAAAGTTTATATCCATCTCCCTTCCATGGTGGCGTCATGGGGATGTTGTAATTACTCGCGCCTGCGTGTAACCCACCCCTCCCTGCGTCTCGAAATTAGTTCCATTCCACTCTTTCTCCCTCCCTATTTTGAAAAATTCATTAACATTATGGGGCGGGCATGCTAATTTTAGGAAAGTGTCCCACAAGCCATGAATAATTTAGACAATGGAATGGTCTGCCACTCGGAGAATATATTTCATGACCAAGCTCCACAGAATTTCTGCCTCGCGCACCGTTCCCATGCATTATTTCCGCGTATCCGCTTAAATACGCTTGTCCAGGGACCATCCAGTCGATGCTTCGTCCACAGTCGGTTGATGTAACGACTTCAAACGAGCATCCCCTCCTCTATCACGCTCTATTAATGGAATTAACGAAGAATCTTGTAATGATATGCACTTTCGATGATTAACTTTCTTTCAACTTTGTCCTTCAGCTCGACGATTGCTGTTTGATTCCTTCGATTTGATTTTCTTCGTCTCTTTCTTCTGTTAATATTCGAGATCGTATTCGAAAATTCGCGATAATCTTCTCTTTTTTTAACTGTAAATCGATAGTAGAGATTCGATTCGATTTCTAAGGAAGCCGTATCGTGTTTTTCGACTTGTCGAGATTAACTGATTGGTACGATCCAAGCAGCATCTCTGGAAGGATTAGAATAGATCAGAGGGAATTAAGATGACACGTGACGAAGATAACCCAAATTGGGTCGCGTACGGTTCCAAATAGTAATCGAACTCCTATATATCAGATATACCTCGTCAAATTTAATTACCTCTGATATCTGAATCTTGTATATACGTGTAACCGAAAAGTAACTAAATTTTCCTTTGAAAAATTATTTTTGAAATGACGAAAACAAGGAATTAAGAAATTCTAACGATTCTACTTTTATCATATATAAATACTTGTCTTTAAATTCTTTAATATAGCCAACAAAAATTTAATAATTTCGAAGAATCTGATGTAAACTGAATCTTCAATCGAAAAATAATATTATCCAACTTACTTTTTAATTATTTGATCGTTTCTTTATTTCCAAAACCAAATATATCGAACGACACTCCACCCACGTAAACGATTGCAACATCAGATCTCCGTCAAAATGATTGAACGTCAAGATCACAATTTTACTAATATAATATCGATCCCATCCCTCTTCAACTGTACCATAAAAAGAAAAGAAACAACCTAACCTCCTCCCAATCCACGTCTAGGGTGTAAACTTAGCAGCGACAGTTGCAGAACTGCAATTAAATACCTAGCACCGGTTTAACCGAGTAGTCTCTCTCTCTCGTCCGTGTAAAAACGGGCGGAGTGTTTAATGTCAGTTCGTGCCCCTCTCCTCCCTCTCCCCTCGAATATCTCTTGCCGCGATGAAGCCCGACCGCCGCCCATCCGCGTCGTTGCAACTTCAACGAGCACCACGTGAAACAGAAACGCTCACAATCCTTCTGGTAGTAGTGGCGGCGGAGTCCTCGTCACGGAGCTGTGGCAAGTTCAGCACGGTGGTGATGGAAGGGGTGGGTGGGTCGAAGGGGGCGAGGGAGGGCCAGACTTCTGAGAAGGGCTTCGCGGTATTATGCTAATCTCGTTAAACTGAGAGCAGGTCAGACGGTGCTTTAGCCCCTACACTATCGTATTAAGATAATAACAATGAAAGGAGGGGGGTTGGGCGCGACGCGAAAGGCATCGACGAACGTGGTCGCGTTATTAGCTCAACCGGCGTAATCTCGTGCCCCCTTGCCTTTGCCGTGTCAGGTACACGGGTAAACGTCTCGTATATCCGATAATAAGTCGTCTTACTTACGCTCTCTATTTATGGATTTTGTTGCTTTTTTTCTTCTTCGATTTCTATTTCAAATGCAGAACTAGAAATAAAGCGTTATATATATATACGATTCATTCCTTTTCGATTCCTTTCGTTTGTTTTCGTCTGTTGTACGATGTAATTTGTTCGAGGAGAGGATAGTCAAAGAAGGAAGAATTGTAGAGAAAGAAAATTTGCTTCTATTCGTCTTTCTTTTTTCGCAAAAATTGAAAAGAATTTTTGCAGGATCAGATTATCCTGATGTTAAATTCTCGTGCATTTTGATCGTTTCATTTTCAATTCTGATTTTCGCGCGTTTTTTTATTTGCTTGCCACCGGTATGCAGAACTCCGGAACTTTATAATACGAAAGAATTCCCTTTGTTTTGGGGAAATATGTTGTCCGATAAGAGGATGGACGGCGTAATTGCATTCTGAAAAGTTTTTGCGGAATGTAAGCAGAAGGAACGTGGCTACGAGATACGAAAGAAAGCGCGGCCGGTGTGCAAAAGTGGTTGTGGAAGCGAGGAGGCGAGGAAAACTGTGAAAAGTCTGCGCGCGCGGACGGAGGTAAAATTTTATAACTGGCCCGGTGAAATTTCATCAAAATCGTGTTGAACGAACGGCCCACAAGAACCCGATTTTTCCCACCGAAAATTTTCACAAACAATTCGTTAAACCTAAATTCCCTCCGCTCGAGCATCTACTTAACCAAAAACTTATTCAACTAAATGGAAGATTGCTCGATTCCGCCAGTGAAACTGCCATTATTTGGCCGAGCTATCTGAACTTACAAGTTCAAGTTAAACATTTTACCCGGATTCGATCAAACTTTTCCTCGTCCCAGGAATCGTAAAGCTGTACGTATAAATATTCACAATTAGAAAGAAAAAGGAACGACAAGAAAAAAGAAAAAGATCGAATCAGATCCGAATCGTTCGATTCAACAATTCTCGAAAATTTTAAAAGTAAGTAAACGAACCAATATTTAATTCAATTCTCTCTTTAAAAAAAAAAAAGAAAAAAAGAAAAAAAAGATACACACGCATAAAATACACACGTAATATTAAATATCGCGCGAAATTCGTAATCGAAATCACGAATTATCAGCGGATAGAAGGAGGAGAGATTGGACGGGGTAGAGGAGGTGCGTGCTCCCCGCAGCGTCATCATCTTCTGGATTCTGATTAATAATTACGTTAAAGCCACCGAGTCCTCGAGGCGGTGTCGGTGTGCCATCCGACAGATTATGATAATGTAGTCCGTTTTGAACTACGGAGGAAAATTTTCCGCGAGGAATGCCATCCGGGGCATAAATATGGAAGAGGCTGATTGAAGGAGGGAGGGGAGGGGATCTCGTGGCGCGTGTTGACTCAAAGGAAAGCAGGATGGAAAAGAGGATGATGGAAGGGAAAACGGAACCGCGATGAAGCAAGCCTTCTCTCGCTCCCTTCCTTCCCTTTCTTTCCTCTCTTTTTTTTTTTTTTTCTTTTTCACCCTTCGAGGCTCCGTCTCGAGCTGAAAAAACGAGCGGAGGTCCGATCGGGACCAGGTGGCGCACGATTGTCGCGTAATAGGCGCGGCTTAAGTTTATTCAACGGGAAGATTCAACGTCGAACGTCTGTTTTAATAAAAGCTGCTCACACGAAGAATCAGAACCTGCATCGTGCTAGATTGGATCCATCTTGGACTCTTTATTTTTTTCACGTTTTGGACATATTTTTTTTTTTTTTNTTCAACGTCGAACGTCTGTTTTAATAAAAGCTGCTCACACGAAGAATCAGAACCTGCATAGTGGTAGATTGGATGGATCCATCTTGGACTCTTCATTTTTTTCACGTTTTGGACATATTTCTTTTTTTTTTTTTTGAACAGAAAGATATATATATATATATGTTCAAAAAATATTATCTTTTTGCGAGTTATTTTTCATTTTCTCATTTTCTCTTTTCCATTTAAGCTTCTCCTAGATCGTATAATTAATTGGAACAATTTATTCTCGCAAATTGAGAAAAGATTTTTCACTTTTTATTTTACGTTCACTGGAGAAGAATATCTCGTAAATAAGGTGATATTTAAATATTGTGAAAAGATGCGCGAGCTTCCTTGGCAATGATATAATTAATAATGCCATAATCGCTTTACGAACATGACGATTAATTTTCCCATGCGCATGGAAATTTGGGCTATTATACTAATGAACGAGTATAATTTATACAAGCACGAGTAACGTTCGATTAATATAGTACAAATACAATTGTTTAATACACGGCAGGAAAATTGAAATAATACTATCAATTAACTAACGATACGCGCGGGTTGTATCACATATCATGATTAAATTTATCACGATAAGGAAGCTCTTCAAACAATAACCTCTTAAAAACAACAATAAAATTCCACTCTTCCTCCTCCTCCTCCCTTTACAACACAATCCTTCCTCTCTCCAATTCCTTCTTTAATTGATATAAAACGGAAAAAAAAAAATAAGTAAATCGCCAAATTATCTTTTTCTTTTCCTTTTCTTTTATCGCAGCGCCACCATGATAAACTGCGCCACCTAGAACGACCAGGAACATAGGGAGACGTTTATCCCGCTAATCAGATCGCGAAGGACAAAGCCCGTGATACATTGCGCCGCAGATTGCCGTGGAATATTATTAAATGGGCCGCGTTCCCGAACACGAAGGTCTTCCCTCGAGCTCTTTAGCCGTAGGATTAAGTAAAATGGTGGACGGTTCCTATTCCGGTGCGCAACAGGTGAGGCGGTATGTCATTTTTTAACGGACATTAAGCATGTGTTGCGAGGCCGTTCATCGAAAATTTATAGGGCCCTTGGAAGTGGGAAAAACTACTAACCGCTCCTCTCGATGCGAATAACGGCCACGTTATTCCCGCCCTTTAATATTGCATTAACTATATCCACCACCTACTACGGGGCTACGAGTGCATAAATAAACCAGCGTCATGGCAACCGGAGAAGTAGTTTCGAGAAGCGAAAAATAAGAATTTATAGTCAAGGATAATAATGTAAAATAAATGTATGTATATTTATAGATAAATAAAAGTTTTGAAAGATTTTTTAACTCGTTATTCTTCCAGTTAGAGTTACCGATTATTTCCACGAGAAAGAAAAATGTTCGAATATCGAAGAGAATAAGAATATTCGTGTTATTTCTGTTATTTTTATTGTAAAAAAGAGATATATATCGCAATAAATCATTTTTACGTATCATCACGTTGTTTTATTAATTCTTAACCTAACCTTTATTCCAACTAATCCCTATTAAGATAATTCCCTTGAAAAGTATTCTATTTTTAATTATAATAATTTTAAGGAATGACAAATATCAAGGAATCTAATCTAAATCCTAGCCAACACTGAGATATTCGCTTGGAAATCATTATATTTTTAATGATTAACAAGTTGAAGGAATATTAAGTTAATTCATCCTTTCCTAACGTGATGATAAATAATTATCAAAAATCGTTCGGCGTGTCTCTTCAGCTTCGACAAATCTTTTCCCGATACTTCGAATCGCACTGGTTGGAACAAAACACGAGTTAGCAGCGGACTGAGAAGACGAATACGTCCTCCATAATCTATTAATGGCGAGGTGCGTTTAAAATGCAGGAAGCTCGTTCTTGGCTGTGCAAGGATTGCAGCTGGCCCATAGCCAGTCTGCTAAGTGGTCTACGTTTTCCATCGGGGGTACATCGGCCTCCTTGCATCCCTCCTCCACCAGCGCTCTCCACGAGAAGGGTTGGTTTCTTTTGCATTCGTACGCATCCGCACGTTCCGTGCCGATGCACTTTTCGCATCGACAAGTGGCCTCCTCCCGGTTTTAATCGGCAAACCTCGATGTATACACCTCGAAAAAGGAAAATTAACTTGGAGAGGGATCGTTGCTTAACATTCGATTTGCATATCGGTCGAGTTTCATCCCCTGTGCCATCTGGTTGGGGTAGAGGAGGGTAGAATTTAAGTAATTTCTCGTTAAGAGGAAGAGAAGTATCGTGGAGAATACGACAGTAATGTGCTCGATTAATGAGTCGAGGAAATTAATATTTCTTGTTAATGAGGAATCCTCTTGTGGGGATGTTTTAAAATTGGATATTATTTATTCGATATCCTAACATTGGAATCATTTCTGTGATATGACTTAATATGATTTAAGTAGTTTTGAAAAAATTGGTAAGTAAGAAAACGATAAAAATATGATAAATATGTAAAAGTTATTTTTAAATTATAATCTCCTGTTACAAATTCAAAAAATTGGACAAAAATTTGGTTCGTTTAATTTATAGTTCCAAAAAAATTACGAAAATTTGTATGTGACTTATAAAAGTTTTAAAAATTCAAAGAATTTAATGTTATTTCCAAGAATTCCGAAAATTCTTGGAAAAATTTCTCGAACGACCTCCTACCAACTTATGTTCTCCTAATACAAAGTCGAATATTTGGCCAATGTTTCTTTCGTCCGAAAATTTGGAAATTTCCAAGAATTTCAGAAATTCTCAGAA